GAGCCAAGATGTCCACTGACAGATGAATGGGTAAAGAAGATGTGGTATATATACATATATACATACAATGGAATATTATGCAGCTTTATTTAAAGTCTTGTCTTTGTTATTTCCTTCCTTCTGCTAACTTTGAGCTTAGTTTGTTCTTTTTCTAGTTCTTTAAGGTGTTCATTTGAGATAGGTTGTTTATTTGAGATATTTCTCTTTTCTTAAAATAAGCAGTTATCACTATAAACTTTCCTCTTAGAAATGCTTTGCTGCATCCCACAAGAGGTTCAGGAAAACAAAGTCTTACTACATCTCCTATATTGTGTCTCCATTTACCTTTGTCTCAAGATATTTTTAAATTTCCTATTTCTTTTTTGACTGAGTATTTAGGAGTTTGATGTTTAATTTTCATATATTTGTGACTTTTCCAGTTTTTCTTCTGATCCTGATTTCTAGTTTTATATCATTGTGGTTGGAAAAGATACTTGATACAATTTCAGTCTTCTTCAGCTTGTTAATAGTTGTTTTGTTACCTAACAAATGATCTATTCCTTAGAATGTTCCACACGCACATGAAAAGAATGTGTATTCTGCCACTTAGATGGACTCTTCTGTGTGTCTCTTAGGTCCTTTTGGTCTAAAATATAGTTCAAATCCAATGATTCCTTATTAATTTTGTCTGGATAATTTATCTGTTGTTGAAAGTGAGGTATTAAAGTTCTCTACTATTACTGTATTTTTGTCTATTTCTCCCTTAAGGTTTGTTAATATTGGCTTTATATATTTAGGTACTCTAATGTTGGGTGCATACATACTTAAAATCTTTATATCTTCTTGATGAATTTACTCCTTTATCATTATACAGTGATTTTCTTTGTCACTTAGTATAGCTTTTTACTTTAAATTGGTTTTGTCTGATATAAATAGTTATTTCTGTTCTCTTTTGATTTCCATTCCATGGGATATCTTTTTTCATCCCTTCACTCATCCTATATGTGTTGTTAAATCTGAAGTGAGTCTTGTATAGGCAACATGTAGTGGAGTCTTGCTTTTTATCCATTTAACCATTGTATGTTTTTTGATCGAGAATTTAATTCATTTACACTTAAAGTAATTGTTAATAAATAGGTAAGGACTTATTGACATTTTGTTCATTGTTTCTGGCATTTTGTAGTTCCTTTATTTATTCTGTCTCTCATTGTCTTCTTTTGTGCTTTGATGATTTTCCATAATGGTATGCTTTAATTCCTCTCTGTTTAGCTTTGTATATTCAACAGGACATTTGTAGTAGGCTGTAGTGACATGGGAGTCCAAGAAACTGGGGGAAAAAAGAAATAATACAATCTTGGATATTTTGCAATGATTAGAAGACAAAATTCCATTAACAGGAGATATCTAGAATGAGCACACAATCATTTCACTCATGAGGCATTAAAAGTAGACACTGAATGTAACTAAAGCTGTTACCAGTCCTGGCCCTGCTCAATTCTTAATTTAGTTGAGGTGATCAGCCCTTCAATCTGTGCCTGAAAGAGGAAAAGGAATACACTCTTTGGAAGAAAAATAACATTAATCTCAGTGTCTATAACTCTTTTACATAAAATATCTGGTATGCAATAAAACATTACTAGACACATGAACTGTTAGAAGAATGTGAGAGATAATCAGGAAGAAAAGCTACTAATAGAAGCAGACTCACAGATAAAGCCAGATGTTGAAGGCAGACAAATAACATAACTATGATTAATAAATTAAAGAGAATAGAAGATGGACAGTATAGATCAAAAGAGAAAAAATATTCAACAGAGATATTTTAATCTATAAAAAAGTGGATATTCCAGAATGAAAACATACAGCACTTGAAACCAAGAACTCATTGGATGGGTTAAACAGCAGGTGGTAAGCAGCAGAAGACTTTTAGTTTCCTATTAGTAAACTCAAAACAGGTCAACAGAAAATATACAACTGAAGTTTTGGAGAGACAAAAGATGAAAGGAGCATGAACAAAGCATAGGAGACATCTGGGCAAATTTAACTTTTAACACTTATGTCAGACTCCCAGGAAAAAAAGGAGAGAGAAGTAAATATTTAGAAGCAATATATGAAAAGATAACAATTGAAAAATTTCCACAACCAGTTGAAGACTTCAACCTACACATTCAAGAAGCAAATTCCAAATAATATGTTGCACCTTGGGACCATAACATTCCAATGCTTAAAGCAGACAAAGGAAAACATTTCAGCAACAAGAGACAAAAACAAAACAAAGCAAAACAAAACAATAGTAATTTCATAATGAGGACTATGGAAGCCATGAAAGATGGATTAACTTTACACTGTATAAAGAAAAAAAAGCTTTATCTATCAAAAAAACTTTCAAAAATGAATGCAAAGTTAAGAGATATTTCTAAAAAACAAAAGTTGAGAGAATTGTCACCAGCTCATTGTGTTGTCACCAGCTCATTGTGTTGTGGAGTTTATACCATGTAGAAATAAAATACATAAAAATAATAGCTCAGAGGTTGGAAAGGGGTAAAAAAATTAAACCGTGGTAAGGTTCCTATACTTGAGAAGTACCAATAATTTAAGGTAGAATATTTAAGTTCAGGATACCTATTGTAATCTCCAGAGTGACCACTAAAATAATATGGCAAAACAATTTAGCCAAAAAGCTAATGGAAGAAATAAAATAATATGAAATGTTAAAATAATATGGAATAATAAAATACTTCATAAAAAAGAATGTAGAACAGAAGGAATAAATAAATAAAAAACAAATGGAGCAGAAAAAAATGAATAAAAGAAAATGAATACCAAGATAGTAACTGGCTTAAATCAAATTATACCAATAACTACATTATATGCAAATGGATTTAGCAATCCAAGTAAAAGACAAAGCTTGTTCACTTACTAAAACAAACAAACAACAACAAAAAACAAACCCTCAAAACCAACAAGTGTATCTGTTTACAAGAGCAACATTGTAAAAATAAGGTCATTTAATGCTTGGCATTTTAGTAAGTGATAAAAAAGCAGACAAAAAAATCAGTTAGAATACAGAATTAATGTTTACAAAAACATAACACTCAACAAGTACAGAATACAAATTATTTTTGAGTGCATATGGACCACTTACAAAAATAGACATTTGCTGGGGCGCCTGGGTGGCTCAGTTGGTTAAGCAACTGCCTTCAGCTCAGGTCATGATTCTGGAGTCCCGGGATCGAGTCCCACATCGGGCTCCCTGGCTCAGCAGGGGGTCTGCTTCTCCCTCTGACCCTTCCCCTCTCATGCTCTCTGTCTCCCATTCTCTCTCTCAGATAAATAAGTAAAATCTTAAAAAAACAAAACAAAACAAAAAACCAAAAATAGACATTTGCCTAGGCCAAAAACAATACATTTCAAAATATTGAAATTGTAGAGTGTATGTTCTTTTACCACGGTAGACTTATAGAAGTCAACAACAGAAAGATAATTAGATTAGTCCCAAATGTCCAGATATTAAGTAGCGTACTACTTAATAGCCTATTGGTCAAAGAAGTCACAATTAAAATTAGAAAATATTTTGAAATTGAGTAAAAATAGAAAAATGACATAAATTCATTTAAAATTATAGCCTGGGTCCTTGAAGTTGAAGATTTTTAGAAGTAAAATAAGATTGAAAAATCCTATGGTCAGTTGGTATATTTATTTGCCAGGGCTGCCATAAAAAAATACCAAAGACTGGGTGGCTTAAACAACAGAAATTTATTTCCTCACAGTTCTGGAGGCTAGAAGTACAATATCAAGGTTTCAGCAGGTTTGGTTCTTCTGAGTCCTCTCTCCTTGGCTTGCAGATGGCCACTTTCTTGCTGTGTCTCCACATGGCCTTTCCTCTGTACACACATATCCCTGATGTCTCTTCTTCTTATAGAGACACCAGTCATGTTGGATGAGGGTCCAATCATATCATATGACCTCAGTTAACCTTAATCACCTCTTTAAAGGCCCTGTCTCTAAATGTGGGCACATTGGAAGTTAATATTTAAACATATGTCCTTTGACAGGGGACATAATTTAGTCCATAAAAGATGAAAACAGCTTGTCAAGGCTTCTGTACATCATTAAGGCTGGGCAAAGAGAAGAGGCACAGCTGAAGAATAAAGGGAAACTTCTTAGAAAAACAGAGGTTCAGGAAAAGAAAACCTTACAAATGAGCTATTGTCAGCAAAAGGCCACAAAGAGTGGCAACTATAATATTACTAGCCATTAACATTTGTTACCTGTTTATTGTTAGAATTTTCTTGATGATTAAATGAAATAATCATTAACTCTTCAGCAAAAATCAGAGCATATACCAAGCATTCAATAAATGCCACATATTTGTTATTATTTCTGAGCTTTGTTCTTGCCTGTGGAAAAAAGGGGAAAGCAGTATCTCAGGAGCTGAATTTTGTTTAAAATATAGCTATTAAAATGTATGGAGCTGTGTTATCAAGTTTTTTTCAAGAAGTATAATGGCAAATGGAGGTTAGACGGAGTCTGCTGATGTATAATAGAAAGTATTGGTTGTCATGGTGAATCGAACCTTGAAGTAAGCAGAACATGTTTCATTTTATTTTAACTCTTATCCAAATGTCTATAAAAGTATTCTCTCATTTGGAAAAGAATACAAGTAAGCTATGAAAAATTGATTTCTCACTAACAAGATATTTGGCAAATATGATGTAAATATGTCTAAGCAGGAGAGCAAAAAATGGTTTTGTTTCATTTTAGTTGAGAGTAAAAGGACACAGGATAGAATTATACCATGGACAAGTTTCTGTATTTTGTCCTCCAAGGTTTCTCCACCCTTTCCATTCCAAGGGAAACCCTGCGATACAGTTAACAACAAGAAGTACCCTTTATTGAACACTTACTATATGCCACTATATATAATTCATTTTCCTCCTAAAGAAAACCCACTAAAATAAGAACAACACATTAAAATAGAAAACAGTCTCAGAGGAATTATGTGACTTGCCCAGGTTCACATAACTGTAAATGGGTGAACTAAGATACAAGCCCAAGTTTGCTGAATTGAAATTTCATCCTCTTTCTGCTAAAGAAATGTTTGTTTATTGAGTGGTTGCTGGGTAAAGAGGCAGGACTAAAATGCTGCAGCATTGCTGAGTACAGACTAGGAGTTTTCAGGACTGTCACTTTGTTCTCTGCAGGAGGAGTCCAGCTTGGGTACCTCACTCTTAACCCTCCCATCCATTCATCATCCCCTGCCCTCCTCTGTGCCATTCCCATTATTCAAACCTCTAGGTCCAATCCCAGGACTTCAGTAAAAGCTTCCTAAGTAATGTCTCTATTCAGTCCCCAGTCAAAGTTATCCTCTATATACACTGCTGCCGTACTTCGGTTTTCTGAAACACAGCCTGGAATTTTCTTCTTCTTTTTTTTTTTTTAAAGATTTTATTTATTTATTTGAGAGAGAGAGAGCACATGAGAGGGGGGAGGGTCAGAGGGAGAAGCAGGACTCCCCGCTGAGCAGGGAGCCCGATGCGAGACTCGATCCTGGGACTCCAGGATCGTGACCTGAGCCGAAGGCAGTCGCTTAACCAACTGAGCCACCCAGGCGCCCTGGAGTTTACTTCTTTGCTAAAACTGCAGCAACAACAAAATCATTCCCCTGCATCATATTCAGAACAAAATCTCAATTCACCCCAAGCTGCCTTTCCTACCTTCCCTTCCACTCTACCCTCACAGTTAATTGGTGTCAAGCCATCTGAGATCGCTACTTTACATTATATAAGTATGTCCTATAATTCCTCACTTCCATGCCTTGGCTTACACTGCTCTGTGGACTATCCTCCCATATGATATATCCCCATCTATCAAAATTCCTCTATATACTTTGAGGCCAACATCAGTGCAGCTCCTCTTCCCAGAAATCTGGAAATCTTTCCAGAGACCCAGAGTCCCATTTCCCCCAGAGCACTCTTTGCCTTTACTGTCACATTTGACATGGCTACCTTATTGGTTTCCCAGCAGATGGGCAGTTTAAAGACACTGACCATGGGCTATTTCTATTTCCACTGCTTGACAATAGCCTCTCCTCAAAAAGTATTTGCTTTGGTTGAAGAGTAATTCTGTGATATATGTACTTCACAATCATACTGACTATTTACTAAATACGGTTCCTATAGAATTTGGGCAGAAAGGCACACAAGTGGCTTGGTTTTAAAAACTTATTTGGTCAAAGTTTGTGTATCTTTAGAGTCAGAATTCCTTTCTCCTATTGAAAGAATATTGGAACGATTTATTTAGAAAGTTTGTGTTGTGAAAATCAAAGTGAAGATTACAGAGTTATTTTTTTCTCTAATAAAAAACTACCTCACAAATCATAGCTGAAACAAACAAAAAAATGGAGCAAGGGCAGGCAAGTGTGTTAAAGTTCCCATTTATTTTATACACAGGGAAACTGAGGCATGTGAAATGACTGACCAAAAGTGATTCTTTTATCAAATATTTGAATTCTTATAATCTAATGGAGCATGTAGACAAGACTAAAGCTTGACCTGCTCCCACTTCTCCAGTCTTCAAAATTTTGTCCATGTTTTTTGTTTGTTTGTTTTGTTTTGATTGAGAGAAATGGCTCTGAAGTCAGGAAAAACAGGTTTTGACTATTTACTAGTGATAGCCTTGGATGAGTTAATGGATTTGTCTAAGGATCATTTACTCATCTGTAGGAAGAAAAGTAACAGAGTCTACTTCATAGACATGTTACAAGGATACAGTTGAACGATGCCTGTAAAGGGTTCAGCTCAGAGCCAGGCACACAATCGAGTACTCAATGAATATTACTGCCATTACTAACAACAGCATTATGTTTTATTGTCATTATCACTACACCACCACTACACCACACTTCCTTACCATTTCCTTTTGTGAGGTCTTGGGCATAGCTTGTCTCAACAATGAATGTAATCTAGCTAGGGGCTGCCACTGTTTCCCTACCTTCTGTGATAAGAATTACCTTCTATGCTTGTTAATACAGACATCAGGTCTTCCAAGGCTGATCCCTCATACTGGAAATTCTGGTGCAGCAGATCTGGGTTGGGAAGGAGGATTTTTTTTTTAATTAATTTATTTATTATTTATTTGACAGAGAGAGACACAGAGAGAGAGGGAACACAAGCAGGGGGACTGGGAGAGGGAGAAGCAGGCTCCCCGCGGAGGAGGGAGCCCAATGCGGGGCTCGATCCCAGGACCCTGGGATCATGACCTGAGCCAGAGGCGATGCTTAACGACTGAGCCACCCAGGTGCCCCGAGGATTTGGTTTTAAAAAGTGACCTCAATGATTGCTTAGTTAGAGGCTTGCATTTCACAAGGCAATCTCCTTACCCTTTTGACAATTCCATGATCAAATCTGATAAAGGGAGGAAAGAGAGAGCAAAACTGCTGCTGCTTTTTGTAAGAAGTGTAAACAGGTTCTATTCCACTGGAATATCACATACAGAGGAGTCATGATGTGTCAGAAACTCTTCAGGATACAAGCTCAGATAGTCTCCTCCAACAATTCTATAAGGTGAGTGTTTTAATCTCATTCTATAGATGAGGAAACAAACAAACAACAAAAACAAAAACAACAAACAAACACATAAGTCATTTGCCCAAGATCAAAAATGACTTAATAAATGTCAGGGTCAGCATTTAAATTTATACCTTCACTGCTATGAAACTCTCTTCTCCATTCTTTGAACATCTCTGGAAGGTAATGAAAATCCAAGAATAAAGAGCTGTGAATTGAAATCCTTTTAAAGCAGAGAATGTACATTAGACATGATTCGATTCCCTATGCCTAATATGGTATCTCGTTCATGATAGGTTTTCAGTAAACTTTTATTGAGTGAATAGATTAAGCTCTTTTCAAATTGAAGCAACACAGATCATACCTTAAGACAAATTATTAAATGGATAATATTTATTGTGGGTGTTCTCATGTTTTCCTTCTGCTCTCCATTCTTTTCCAATTGTCCAGTGTCCTTAGACTTGGCCTACTCAGACCCTGATTCTTCAGAGAGAGGGCACCATATTTTCAAGCTTTTCTGCAAATTATGTTAGTTTGAAAAATGCCTTTTGCACATAAAATTGCTTTTTAACTAGAAGGTTGTAAGCCAAAATAACTTAATTTGAGAAAAAAAATCAGGAAAGAGGATATTCAAGAAGTGAAGTACAAGAGATATTTTTAGGGCATATTCTGTATGATATTGTAATAGTGGATGCATGATACTATGAATTTGGTTAAGTACCCAAAACTTTACAGCACAAAAAGTGAACCTTAATATATGTAAATTACACACAATTTAGAAGATTAGGGGATCTCAGAATGGAATACAGAGTATGACAAAATATATTCACTGTAGAAATAATCTTACTTATGGGGAAGGGGGCAAAAGGTTCTAGCCTAACTAATTTTGGAAATGAGTAGAATCTGTAAGACTAAAGGCAGAAGGATCTGCACATAAGCACTGTATTCTAGATGATAAGGTTGTTTCCCATGGGACCATGGTTTAACAATTCTGAAACTATTTTACATGTATACTGAAACTAAACAGAACAATTAAATGGTGGGTGGTGGGAGCCAGGTTTCTCACTATTGGAGTAGGAAGTTAGAGATGAGCAAGGTAAAAAGGCTAAAATAATCCATGTGGTAATGGGTTATAGTTGGAGACATAAGTATGAACTCATATTTAGTTTAATATAGGTACTAATGGTGTCATATAGAAATACTTATAGATATGTGGATGCACATATATAAATAATATATATATACACATACATATATATTATGCACACTTATATTTCCTTGTTCAGTCAGCTGAGAGGGCCTACATGCAAGCAACCCCCATAGAAACCAGAATAACTAATTCTAAAAAGAAATGGAGCTCCATGGAGAAATGGCTGATTTTAGAATTGTGGTAGATGTACAAGATGGGCCTAGAGCATTTTGTGCCAGAAAATAGTGCTTAAAAAAAACCAAAAACACAATAATGGGATTATGTCAAAGGGACACAGGAACCAGCTGAAAGGACCCCTAATTGCCAAAGCCAGAATAGTTTTGTTACAGGATTTTTTTTCTCCATTGGTGGCTCATGGTTCTTTGTCAAGCTGCTTCGAAGAATGAAGAGGTAGACCAGACAGAGTAGTGGGCAGCAAAATAAGGTTTACTGACTGATACCAAAGTGATAGTACAAAGCTCCCGAAGAGGGAGGGGACCCGAGAGGGTTGCTACCAGAATTTCTAAGTCTAGGGGGTTTTATGGGCTCGTTGGCAGGCTGTTTTAATCTGATTAACCCTCCTTGCACCTGTCATCCAATCAGTTTTTTGTCACATGGGAAAGGGTGGAGGGCTCCTTCCAGGGTAGGTATAAAATCCTTTTAAGGGTGGTGTCCTCTTAGGGTGGAGCGCCCCTTGCCCCTGCCTGCCTGCCTTCCAACTATCCATCAGTTTCAGCAACAAAATAAATTAGTATTTGATTATAATTCAAAGTATAAAATAAATATCCATGAGTCCATACTGATATAAGCAAGTAAACAATGATATAAGTGATAAATAAATAAATAACTGAAGGTAAAGAGACAAATCTCCTGGCCAGAAGGATTTCAATGAATTTATTTACATACTCTCCCTCAACGTTATCAATATTGGTTCATCAGTTGTAATAAATATACTAATTAATGTAAGGTGTTTATAATAGGGGTAACTAGGTGTGGGGTATATGGACCCTCTCTGTACTATTTTTGCAATTTTCTGTAAATCTAAAACTACTGTAAAATTAAAAGTTTATTTAAAATAGGATGGAAAAATATTTCTAACTGAAGTGAAAATCTGGTTTTATAATGCTCTCGCTTCAGAGACATCTGTTAGCATATTTGGACTTGCATGTTCAGATACGCATTTGGTGCCAAGAAAATGCTTCCAAAATAACGGCCCCTGAACAAAAAGTCAGCTTTAGTAAAACAGCTTTGTGGTTCGCAGTTTAATGGGCTGGAGCCAGCTCCTGTAGTTGGTAACTAGAATCCCTCTCCTATTTGACTTGTCCAATTACAGCAAAAACAGCTCACCAACATCAGGGACAGTTTTATAAGAAAAGAAAAAAGGAGGATTGTGCAACTTAGTACCTGTCTCAGCTGTATTGGTTTTAAGGCTTTAAGTTTTTCACCGAGGAGAGAGGAAAAAACACTTTGGAATAGTGAGCTGCTTGAATATTTTTGTACCTAGCATATCACCTTTTTCCTATGTTTCACTATATTACCAGAGTTTGTATTGATTGGAAAGGGAACACACCAGCTGTTTGTTTAGAGATCTGACTTAGAGTCCTTTTCATATGATGTGTATTGTAAAAGTCCCCATTAATCCTTTGGCTTGTGGATTTTTGTGTATATTTAAAAAACACCTTTTCCGTTTCTATAATTTAACCTTGAAATGACTGTTTCTAATAAATGCTAATGTTTAAATGCATCTAATACTTCAGTAAGTTATTGAAAAAATGAGACTTGGAGCTTCAATATAATAAGTAAACATTTATTTATTGGGGTACTTGTCTTTGTAATTAATGTATTGATTGAATCAGTAATTATAGTCTCTCAGCAAATTAGTGTATTAACATGTGCATTTAAACAGAAAAATTATATGCTTTAAAATAACTAAATATTTACTTAGCTTATCAGGATTATTTGAATAATTTAAAATTGGTACTTTCTCCCATGAATTTAGAGAGGAATTTCAGACACTTGGTTAAAGTGTTCTATTTTGGGGTTCCTGGGTGGCTCAGATGGTTAAGCATCTGCCTTCAGCTCAGGTCATGATCCCAGGGTCCTGGGATCAAGCCCCACATCGGGCTCCCTGCTCAGTGGGGAGCCTGCTTCTCCCCCTCCCTCTGCCATTCCCTCCACTTGTGCTCTCTGGCTCTATCTCTCTGTCAAATAAATAAATAAAATCTTAAAAAAAAAAGTGTTCTATTTTATTTTAAATGGAGGGGGGTGGGGTGAGGAAAAAAAGGTACGAAAATTATAAAATAAAAATTTACATTTTTGTCCAGTTTTGGAATTTTATCCTTTTTGGAATTACCATTCTCAATTCTGCATATCAAAATTTTACTCATGTTTAAGGTCCAGTCTATTGGGGTACCTGGGTGGCTCAATCAGTTAAGTGTCTGCCTTCAGCTCAGGTCATGATCCCAGGGTCCTGGGATCCAGCCCAGTGTCCAGCTCCCTGCTCAGCAGAGAGTCTGCTTCTCCCTCTGCCCTTCTTCCCTGCTTGTGCTCTCTCTCTCAAATAAATAAATAAAATCTTTAAAAAAAAAAAAAAAGGTCCAGCCTGTTAACTGTATATCCTCAAAGGTCTTATATTTGTCCAGATATATGTAATGTCTCCCTTTTCAGAAACCCTCTTAACTTCTTAGATAAACTGATTATAAATATCTGAAGAAGACTTATATCCAGCTAATCTCAAGGGAAGAGACTCCAGATAAAACGAAGTCAAATATTTCTGTCTCATGGCCACATATAGAAAATAATGTAAAATAATGTAAAGGAATGTCCAGTTGAAGATTATAATGTGAGTCATAAGTCTGATTGCATGATATCATTGTATCTTTAAAGGTCTGGTTTGAGACTGTTAGGTAGTACATACAAAGGGAGTGGGTAGCTTTCACTTCCCTTAGGGAGTTATTAATTAGATCATTGTTCAGGAATTTTATCAGGAATTCTAGTTACTTTGTAGGAGGGGTTATAGATTTTGTCATGCAAAAAAAACTTTCTCAGATGAGGTTTAGGAAAATTTCCTTTCTCTGCACTGGATGACTCATCTCAAACCAAACTGTATAAAACAGGAAGCAGAGAAATAAACATGGAAGGTTTTCCTACACTGTAAGTTTTATTAGAAGAATTTTTAAAGGGAAGAAAATTTCTTTTTCTCTCTTAAAGGGATTTTCCACAGATATAAACAGGTAAATCAACAAAATTTCTCTTTTCTTCACTGACTAATATTCTTTTCACCCTTGTGTTCCATGCAAGCCCAAGGAACAGAATACTTACCTGCATGAGTAACTAGAGAATTTTATACTTGTGTGCTTTCAGAAACATTGCACTGTTTGTGCTACATTAAATCAAAGTGAGAGAATGAAGGAGCTCAAAATTCCAGCCATAAAATAGCATACCAATGTTACAACTAGCTGCAATAGATGAGCAAAGACTAATGTTTTTACAAACTTTCTTTGCCATCTTAGAAATTTGGGTTGCTCGGGCGCCTGGGTGGCTCAGTCGTTAAGCGCCTGCCTCAGGTCATGATCCCAGAGTCCTGGGATTGAGCCCTGCATCCAGCTCCCTGCTCTGTGGGAAGCCTGCTTTCCCTCTCCCACTCCCCCTGCTTATGTTCCCTCTCTCGCTGTGTCTCTCTCTGTCAGATAAATAAATAAAATCTTAAAAAAAAGGAAATCTGGGTTGCTCTTTACCCTCCAGTACTAATTACAAATAGAAAAAAGCACAGGCTTTCACAAATCAATTCAACTTCCTGTATATATTTTCAAATGTTTCAT